TAATACAATTAATTTGTGTTTTTAAATAATAAAATCATTTGACATACCCGATGTTACAACAATTGTTCAAAATTTTATCCACCAACGTGTAAACACATTTGGGTCCGTCTTACTCAGTTTCTACGAACTAACACAAATGTTGTCTTGCTTCACCATATCACAAATGCTTCACCATAAATTAAAACGATATCCATGAACTCCGAGTTGCTATACACGCAAACCATTTTTGACACTAACTACCCATTTTTGACACTAACTACTAAAAAAACTATTGAACAGATAACAGTTAATACTATTGCAACGATTTCAAAATCCGATTTCAGTATTCGGAGTCGCTGAGGCCACGTGGCTCTCCACGCGCATTGCGAATGACGCTAAAGACTACAGTTGTCAAGCTATGTAGTCTTTGAATGTACTATAACTTCAATAATTTTTTTCTAGGAAACTATTAGGATTTTACAAAAATTTTTTTTACGATATTGACTCCATTTCTTATGCCGCGTCTATTCCCAAATTTTTTTGAATAAGTTCTGAATCACCCTGTATATGAGTCAGAAAAGTTTCCACCAATAATTACTTATTTTATTGTATCTAATTGAAATTGACTTACTTGCATTTATTACACAATCAACACTTTTTAATAACCTGCTGACAACCATGTTATAAAGTAAAATGTGAGTGTAAGGATCCATAACACGTACATCCTCTTTATATCGATTACGAAATTCAGCGCTGATAAGTTCATGCTCTGGAATCTGTATTTTTAATCTGAAAAATACAGTAATTAGAAAATTTAACACAAAGAACTGAATTGTTTACTTAAAAACTATAAGTATAGCTTTTTGGAATCAAATTACATCTTTTTGTGTATTAATTTTTGTGTCTAGCTTACTTTTACCTATTAAAAAATCTATATGATGATTTGAAATCCAACACTTTGCCATCTTCAGTTCGAAAATTATAGAAGGATGAAGATAGTTTGGAGTCATCCTTTTTTCCTCTCAGAACAATATCATATTTATTTATTACCTCCTCGGAACTTTGCAACTTATCAGCACACAAGTCTTTAGAATTAAGTGTCAATTCACTCTCTAACAAATCAAATATGTCACAAGAATCTCTGTCTCGGACATATTTTATTTCATTTTTCTCTAGATCATTTTCAGAATCTGGAAATGGAACAAAAAATAAGTAGTATACTACCGGGTGTTTCATTAAGTTCTCCCGGCACTAATAGAGGATGTTCCTTGGGTTATTTCTAGGAAAAAAGTTCATATAAACATATGTCCGATTTGCTTTACTTATTGAGCTATGTGAATTTGAAAATAAAATATTGGAAATTAATTTTCATTTTTATTTTTAGAACATCGGTAATAGTGATACATACATTCTTAATTTAAAAGGTTTTGGAAAATTCCACCTCCTACTTCAATACATTTGTCAGCACGCCTGTGAATTGCTCGCGTTGCATTTCTAATATTCGTGTGCTTTTCTTTTATTTACGTTGCAGCATTAACAATTCTTTGGATTAGAGCTTCGCGTGTTTGCACTTTCTCTTGATAAACCAAATCCTTCATCCAACCCCACATGTTGTAATCTAACGGATTGAGGTCTGGAGACCTAGCTGGCCAAATGTGTGGCCCACCTCGACCGTTCCAGCGACCAGAGTAATGCTCATTTTGGTAAGCAGTGACAACTCGGGAAATATGAGGTGGAGCTCCATTATGTTGCAAGTACATTCTTAATCGTCTTGCCAGAGGTACATCTTCAAGCAATCGCGGGAGTTCTTCCTCTAAAAATTGAAGATACTTTGGTCCGACCATTGATGCATGTTATGGGTGTTGTTGATACCGTCTCTGGTAAATTGTGACTCATCCGTAAATAAGTTGTAGCGATACAAATTCCTATTATTATTCAACCACTGACAAAATTCTACCTGCCTAGGGAAATCTTCTGGCTCCAGATGTTGAACACGCTGTAGATGGTATGGATACAACAGATTCTTGTTTAATGTTCTCCATACCCTGGTATTGGGAATCACTAAAGGGGTGGATATCCGTCATGTACTAACACCGGGATTACGCTCGGCCATAACAAGGATATTCTCTTCTTCTACAACACTCTGCTGACTTACCCGTTCATAGAGAATGCGAACACTTGGAAGTGAACCAGTTTCTCTGAGTGCATGAAAAGTTGTGGTAAACGTTTTTGGGGATGGAATGTGACGATTTGGGAAACGCTGTTGATATTCCAGTGAAGCTAGAGTAGCATTTCCATCGCAATTACCCAAAACAAACACCATATCGGCATACTCAGCAGTCGTAAACTTAAAAGGCATTGTTCGCGAATTTGCAAAATTGAATCTTCACACTAAACTGCAAGCTTGTCAAAACTGACAGTAACCTAGATAACATTTTACCACGGCAAATAAAACAAATTGTTTTATTTGCCGTGATTTTACCTTGCAAATGTCGTCAGAGCACACTTGACCAATGCGTAGCGTGCCGAGACGTAACGCAACAAATTTGATTATTACTTTTTACATTTAAATTTCAAATTCATGTAGCTCACAAAGTAAAGCAAATCGGACACGTTTATATAAACTTTTTTTCTAGAAATAACCCAAGGAACATCCTCTATTAGTGCCGGGAGAACTTCATGAAACACCCGGTATACTATATACTATAACTGAGTACTTTATTACATATCTACAATACATATAAACCTTTATAAGTATATCAATATCAGGCTTACTTATTATACTTCATGAAAACATGTTTCAACTACGTGGCAAAATTGTGCAAAAAAAAATAAATGAATTTCTTAAAGAAAGGCTATGTAAATTATTGTATTATTAATGATCTATATCATTAATCATTATCATTTCTAAATAAGTAAATATCCACAGAGAAAATCACAAGTATACATTATGCCCAACAATTCAAATTTATTAGGATTCCTCTAAATTGTTTCAAATAATTTAGTGCAAAACCAAATGCATGTACAAGTAATATTACTCCTAACTGTAATCAGGTAAGAAGCAAATAAGTTATTAATATAAAATAGTTCATTAAAATGAAAGTGATCATATTTCGATATTGTAGCATGGGACATATACCATTTTTAGGTAATGATTTCCGGGTCTACATAGAGAAATTTAACGATGAAATAAAATTCACAAATTAAGACATTGAAATAAGGAAGACAGACCCTGAGATTTCAAAAAAAAAAAAAATTCTGCATAGTAATGTCTATTTAATTTTAATTTGATATTTACATTCCATTTTGCAAACTTCATAATGCTGCAAATTTAAGAAAATTGAAAATTTTATGAAAAGCAATTAAACACCTGTTTGTTTCCATTGGTTATGAAAAAAAAAAACATTTTGCTAATATACTTATTGTGCAACTCTTTTCGATATCTCAGGTACGTCCACCCCTATTTTAATTTTTTTTCGCAACATTCACTTGAAATTTTTTCATCATGAACGTCCTCTATGTGGGATTAGAAATCATCCCTCAAAAGCCAATATGGGTTCCATGATTCGTTATAAAAATAAGATCACTTTAATTTTCATGAGCTGTCCATGCACTGATTCCTTGAAGTGTGAATACATAAAGGTCTATGATTAAAAAATATTTAAATATAGGTACTAAATAATTTTGTAATTGTTAACCCACAATAAGCGTAATAAAATCTTACCAGTAATTAAAGAATTTTTTTCATTATTGCTGTCAGACAATGTTGACGTTCCATTAATATTCTCCTCTATACATTTTGGTGCATCACACTCATGACTATTGACCCATATCCATCCATCTTTAGATACATCTATAATTGAATTTTCTTTTTTTGCTTGCAAATATCTTGATATTTCTTCTGACACAATATCTGCAAAATTGACCGCTTCTGGTCTATCAACATTAGCCCATGCACACATGCTTATAGCACTTCTATAAAAGAATTAAAAAAGGTACAATAATTATGTATTTATACTAAAATGTTGACAGCACGAATACAGTTTATGCTTTTTGGTAAACAATATTGTAAAATATTGTGCAATGCATACACTGATAGGATAAGTAATAGAAATATACATACTTCCAAGTAGATTAGATATACAAGTTCCCATCCCATGCACAAAAGGTGTAAGTAATTTATTTCTTTATCTTATGAGATATTAAAATATCACGGCATAGAATAAAAAAATACAAATACGGGTTGTTTACTTCAATATCTATATCTAGGTTATAGACAGGGTTGCCAGATTTTTTTTTTAACCTAGTAGCCATTAGCCAAACCAAAATTGAAAGTAGCCCAAAATAGCCTGACATCTAGTAACAAAAACCGTTATTTATAATTTTATACATTTGAAGTTTAAAACCATGCGGGTTTGAGTTTCTTCTGTGAGTCTGGGGATAACCATTTTCTAGTGGTATATGTGGACAACCCTTAGAAATAGAGTAACTGCTTGTTGTTCTCAGGTAAGTGTAAGAATACAACCACAGAATATATAATACATACAAGTATGTACAACTATGGTCTTAACAATCTAGTAGCTGCAACATGGGAAAAATTTGAGCTCACTTTGATCTTGACACATGTGATTTAGCTACTACTCAACAGATGGCAGCAATAAGTGCTAAAGGCTAAAGCACAGTTTAATATGAGCTGTGGATAAAGTTCCTAGAATCTAGGCATTTTACTAAAGGCTTCCAAATCCAAATAGTTTACATCTGAGTTTACAGAATGCACAGCTTAAATATACGGTTCACAGTTCGCAGTAAAATATAGAAACTCGGTCGAACTAGATTTAAATTCAAAAATAATTCCCTGACAATAAGTAATAAATACTTCATCTCTGGAATAATTAGTTAACTAAGGCAAATATAGGTATATGATTTTAAAACTAGATTATTTTGCCTATGGTGCAACTGACAACAAACAACAACTTTACTATTAGCACAGATTACTCTTCTACTACACTTATAAAATAACCAATTATTCTAAGATTCGACAATACAGAAATGGGTATATAAAATATAAAAAATAAGTCGAATAAAATGTTTTATTCCAAAAAATAGACTTAACAGTCTTGAGTAAAAATAGAATTTATATAAATATACTATTCTAACATTCGATTTGTACAGATTGCCGACACTGGTAAAAACTCGAAATAGCCCAAATTGGCGACTGGCTATTTTTGCTTTTTTTCGAGTAGCCGAAAGTCATCTGAGATAGCCCAGTTGGCGATAAGTAGCCCAATCTGGCAACCCTGCATTTTAATAACAAGTGAATTATTAAAGAAGAAGAAGAATTATTAAGAACAGAACAACAATACACAAAAGGCTTTTTTTCGCGAGTGAATATTGGTGAATACGTCTGACTTGTAGTTACTGTTTCTATCTCTTTTTAATCTTATTTCTAAACTTGTCTAACCTGAACAGATCGCGAAAATGTATATATTCACTATTCAGTGGTGCAGCCTGTCATATGTACTTCGACGACTTTGACATATGGCTTCAAGGCTCCCCATATATGTTTTTAAATTTTTTATATAAAAAAATTAAACTAGAAAGAGGTTAGGTCGGTTTTTTATGTAATTCATACGAAAAAGACCTGAATTACAAATGATTCCACCAATATTATCTTTGGCCTAGGTCACAAAAAAAAGAGGATAATCCTGAAGCAAAGTGGATCGCAAATATGTCCCATATAAAAAATTAATCTTACGACCATTACTTAAGTAAAATATTTGCTGTTTCAACGTCTACGTTTACTA